AACCTACTTCTGAATTCAAGAAGGAAAGAATGGGCCCCTGTAGAACACCATTCACATGTCGACATGTCGACGCCCTGCAACGAGTAGAGACGGTTCTCAACATCCCCTCGACCGCTGCTCACCTTGGTGATGGCGCTCTCTGCAAGGGCTCCCTCCTTGCAGGGAAGGAAGACCGACTCCATCGTGCTCCTCAATGAGGGCACAAACTGAACAGCTTCGGAAGCCATTCAAGCCGCTGTTAGACCCAAGTGGCAGGGTCATCACGACTGGGTGTGAAAGACAATGCATCTCCAAAAGCACACCACCCTGTCACTACACCACCCTCCCGCGCAAATGCGCCAATTCAGGGCCACCCCACATGAGCTTTCCCTTCTTCGCCTCGTCCACCGTGACCTTGGCATCTCCTGCCTGGCCCAGCGATCACAAAAGCATCCAGCAATCCACCAAATCATGATGTGCCTCTTTCACGATCTAAACAAGGTGACGTAGGCTCGGTCATACAGTAGCTGGGGCAAAACGACAATGGACAAGCATCTTTGTTGAGCTTGTTCTGTGACAATGGCTGTTGGCCTTCTGCTCTTGCTCGGCTGTCTTCAATGCCTGCCAGCTCTGAGAAACCTTGTGCACCAAATCAACTTAGCTCCATTTTAGCCAGTCACCCTACTTGCAGCATCTGCCTTCAGCGCTTCAAAGCTAAGGCTACGTAGAGTCTAAAGCTTTCTTGCAGGCTCAGCAAATTGGACTAGTGGTAAGGGCACCACGTCTCACCCAACTTGAGGGAGGAGCTCGATGATGTTCATCAACAAATCTCTATTGAAGTGGGACTTGATCCTCATTGACCTGCCCACACGTGCCTGTTTGGCCGCTTTTAAGGAAGCCTCCGCACTCGTCACTTCCTGCCCAGTCTCATCGGAACGGAACGGATCCATCCCAACAGATTTGGGCAGCCCGAACTTCCAACTTCCGCAACGAAGCGGAAGAGCCTGTAGAGCGCGCAAACAAGTATATGCATATTGCATATGATATATACATGTATATATATGTAATATATATGTATAGAATAAGTATAGAGAGAGGGAGAGGGGTCATAAAGTAGCACACCCCTAAAACGTCGTTTTTAACACAATCAACTCTAGCACAACTCCTGGGCCGCCTTGAACCCATGTTTCAGGCACAACTTCTGGCCCGCCCATTGGATTGAAACGGTTTCCGGCGAAGCCACACCTCCTTGGCTGCCGCGGTGGCTTGGGCCTTCTCCTCCGTGGCCTTCTTCGTCTCCTCCGGGCGGCGATGGTGGCGATGGTGGCCGCTCGTGCCGAGTTCTGGAGCAATCTGTTCCTAGTAGCTTATTGTTTCTACTAGTTTCTTGTTCCTACTAGTAAGGCACTTGTTACTAGAAGCGATGCACTTGTTCCTAGT